TAACTTGAATAAATATGTATTTCAGATGCTGAATTAGCTGAGAGAGACGGAGAAATACAAATTCAAGTCGCGAAACTCGTGTGACGAATAAAAGGAATCGACGACATGCTTTTGTAGCTGTTTCTTTTCAACGGAGATCACGAAACCACGCGTATCTGCTCGGAGGGATTTCGTATAGATCGTATCGCGACAATTGGTAGTCAAGATCGTGTTTAGATAAAAAAGAAAACTGGAAGACGATAGAGAGAAAACAGCTCCATTAGATGTTACTTTGTCGTCATGAAAATACCATCGTCGCGTATTCGATCAGTCATCAAGCTGACAACTGTGATCGAATTTTAACGGAAATCAAAAGATATAAAAAAATATGTCACATAAAAAAAGAATAGAAACAAATAAATTATATTTTACTCCCTGAAGATTTTAATTTAGAATAGATTTAAAGAGTAAAATTTTTGCACGGTATATCATTCATTCAAGAATTAATCAAATACTATATTTAATTTTGGAATAATAATGCGTGATCATTAATTAAACAATTCAATTAATTCAAACAAAATTAATTTAACAATTTAATCAGTGATGTTTGAATATCTAAGTTTGAATATCTTTATATCTAATGAGAATATTTTATATATAGACAGAGTTTTTCATACTCTTAAATACTCTTAAATAAAAATTAAATTGTTTTTCTTAGCTTCACACATACACATAAACGTTGAATAATTTTCACATTAGAAAAAAAATTCTTGGCTGAAAGGCTTAAAGTCCCCGTTTCGTATATTCATTACACGACTCGAGCCAAACTTCGATAAACTTGCCGCGTGTGTTTCTTTCTCGCTTTCTTTCTTTCTCGAAGATACATTCTTGCCTTAACTTCATCATTTGCATTCCTCGGCCGAAAGTGCATTTTTAGAAATGCGCTTTCATCTCGATCTCAGACGAGTCGCGTTCTCCACCCTTCTCTCTGCTAATATTATCGATTACCGCCGGTATTTTAATCCCTGGAGCGACATGACAAAACCTTATGAAGGAAGAACGATAATATCTCGGCGTTTCGGTAGTCGAGATCGTGTCACGATAAAGCATAAATCTGGGACGACCGCTGAAAAATAGCTCCATTACAGGCAATTGTTATGCACACAGCAGCAGCAGGAGGTTACGCCTGAGACAAAAGATATTGTTTCAGGCGCAGCTTATTATTCGCAAGGCACATTAGTCATCCAGGAGAGGATGAGTGTCTTAAGAAGATTTACAATTTCTTAAGAAGATGTATACCTAGATGCGTATCTTTTTGTATCGGGAAACTCGAGATGCGAGAAAACCTCTTTTGACTAAGCCATTATCAACGTTCTTCATCTTGTGTGAAACATCTTTAAATATCCTTAAACTATACTTCTGAAAAGTCGACAATAGGAATAAACTGCTTTAGGACTATGAAGAGACTACTGTGTAGATTAACCTTTTCTCCCGCGTATTATATTCAAAATTAAAACTATTAACGTCAATAGTATAAAAATCTCCACGAAACATCGATTAGTCAAGAATGAGAAAAACTGCACATGCGATGCAGCTAAAATTATCATCTCAAATTATATCCCGTTAAGAGACCGGTTTCAAAATATATACCCACACACAGAAGGCATTTACTCCTGGTCGATGCCTGCATTTCTTTTTCAGGTAGATATTTTGCACTTCTATTGAAAACGGAAAATTTTAATTCCTTAAAGAAAGTATTGCGAAAAAAAGGAAAAATGGTGAGAAGAAAAAGAAAAGAAAGAAAAAGAATCGATTTTTCTTCGTATATGTATATGTACTTCTAGTATTACGATATCAGCTCTCGCAAGGGTCTTGGCACGATGCGTGCAATGAAATGATTTATATAAATATCGCAACTAAATATAGCGAATCTACAATCGATGGTGCTCGTCGTCAATCTCGCGTTGAAAGAATTGCGGCTATAAATAAATGTAGTACAAAAAAAGAATACACTGTCTGATAAAAATTGTCAAAATTATTGATAATTATAAGAGTAAAGGTTAATTGCGGCATTTCTCCCGTAATAAGAGCAGAATCTTTTCACAAGGCGGACAGAATTGATAGAAGGGATCGGTATATTGTCTCTTAATTGATCGCGAAAAATAATTATTAAAATTTATAGCCCTTTCTCCTTCTCTCTCACGATGTTACGCGCGCTGCGACGGTTACTATAATTGTATAAAGATCCCACCGCCACATGCAGTTGATTAATGCGAGCGGTGATAGCGCGAGCGAGAATATCTAGCTAACCTTTCGTCGTTGCATTTCTTGAGCACATTCTCGTTTTGTTCGCGCATCTTGATGAGACTCGCCTACTATAATGACATGGCGCAATCGTATCTTTTGAATTTTCAATCGCGTATTTAATGCGCAACAAGATATTTCTAAGTAGATTAATTTGTTTTGTGATTTTCGCTTTCCACGTGTTTTCATTTGTTTCCACGTTTACGTTACTGCGTTTATTATGTCGCACATGGATGTGTACACGCTCTTCTTGACTATTATCAATGCTTTGATAATGTTTTTTCTGTTACCGGAACAAGCGAGTAATGATAAATTTTACTTGACGTATCGGTATTGAATTAATTAAAAATGCCAGCGAAAATATATTAATTACATTATTCTCTGACAGCAATCCTGTCTTTATATTTATATCTGAAATCTTGAAATAATAAGTCTTATATAAAAATAATTAAAAACTATGCTAATATAAAGAATAATAAATGATATTTTGTTTAATTATTTAAATCTCTTAACCGACTCAATTTTCTACAGCACGACTTTAAAATTGAAAAACATCTACCGTTAAATAATTAAAGAGCTGTAATGCGATCGTTGATTACTCATAAATAATTTAAGTATCAATTTATGAAGAAATATTACATACAGTATACATATGGGGGAATTTCAAACTTCATTATCAGCTCACCGAGCTATAAAATAAACAATCCGACTATGAGGGCGCTTTTAGTTTGCGAATTGTATATTAGAGATTATAATTCACGATTTTGTAATTCATAGTGTAAGAAATACATACTGCATTCTTGAGCAGTATATCACGAGATGACACAGGAGATATGTACGATGTCTTTTATGCTTCATATATGCCAAGCACAATAACGCTTTAACAATTACAAGTAAACTTTCTCTTCATTACATATATCGTAAAATTTTTGTTTCGTGTCATCTTCTTATCTAGGATCGGAGTCATCGGAGTTTAGTACTTGCCGAGGGTTTTTCAGGGAACACATTTTTCAAATATATACGTGTAAATTTCGAAGTGAGTACAAAAGCGTGAGCATAATTACTCAGCCTTTTTCTCGAAGAGAGTGCTTTTAAACACTTAACTATTTTTGATAATGTTGCATTGTCATCTCTTCTAATCGTCTTGCTATCGCGAAATCTTCTCACGGTTATTCTCTGTGTTTGACAGATTTCTTTTTCGCGAGTCCGTGTTAATTCGAAAAAATCTCGCCCGTTAATTGCAATTGCGACAGAGATACGAAAAGCGTATATAGTCGACGCGGTTAAGCAACGACTACTAAAAACCGCGGCGCGTTTATCTGGAAGCGCAGGCAGCTGATTTATTATAAGTAACGACGAGAGAGTAATCGCGCCTTAATCGACTGGCAATTAACTTCGCGTTTCCAATTAACGAAATAAGCCACGATCGTATTTTTCGTTGCAATCTCTGCGAATAACGACGGGGCTGATTAGTAACTACTTTCCGATATATGCACTCCACGTTACATTATTATCAATATCATCTGATATCGATGACAGTTGATGGAAAAATAAACTAGAGTTATTCGTACTATCTAAGCTTTATACGATTTAAGCGGAAAATTTTGATAGCGCGATTTGACAGTTTCCGACGGTACTTGCGTGAGTCACGTGGTTTTTCTCTCGTAATCTCTTTTCTATTGTTTTCACGTGAGCTAATGACTCATAGCGATTTTAAATTTGACATCAATTTTTGACCATCCTTATTTCACGCTACCGCAAATTTCAGTTAAGATTTTTAAGAGATAGGACAAAAAAAGGATACAAATCGAAACACTTAAAAATATTTGGAAAAAAATAACATTAAAATTTAAAACCTAGTTATATTAGAATTAAGTATTTTTTTTTTAATTTAATTACACTGTGGAAAAAAATTCTATAAAATATCTATGTCTGAAACGTACGTGAATTCTTTCAAGTGACCTATTTGAGCAAATCTGTTCTAAAATGTAGACATAAAATACTGATTAGAGTAGAAAAATTCCATTAATAACAAGAATTATATCCAAGCATGGCTGATCGAGGCACGCACACACATACGGATCTCGCGAGGCGAGCGAGCCAAAAAGCCTCCGGACCCTGTACCGAGGTAGACCATAAGTCAGACTCAAGGCGGCGTGGATACCCGAAGATATCCGTGAGGAACGACCCGGCGCGCCTTCTTATCCACGTCCGATCTGGTCGGACATTATAGGCGCGACAAGGCGGAAAGGAGACGGAGGCTAACGCGCGACCGTCGACGAGGAGAGAGAGAGACGGAGCGATCAAGACGAAGAGCGAAACGCAGACGCGGACGCGCGCGGAGAGAAAGAGGGAAAGGGCCCGGATGAAAAGGGAAAAAAAAAAAGATTTTATATAAAAATCGATCTCGAGAGCGTGGTCACCGCCTCCTTGAATGCGGGACCTCGGTTTCCGCACGTGGGCGTCATTCGCTCCGCCTTTGAGAGTCACCGCGATCTGATCCGGAGTACCCGCCTAGTCCGGTCGCCAACGGATCCGACGATCCCTCCACGGATTCTATGCCCGTTCTCACCCCTCCTTGTCCACCGCGATCCCATCCCTTCCCGGTGGACCTGACCCTACTCGAGCGGCGTCGCCGCTGCCTTTCCGTGCCACGGTCACCCCGCGTCCCGCGGCACCAACGCGGAGAGGTGACTGTCCAGGACAGTTTCAGAGACGCAGTCACCGGCTGCACCACGTCTTGGAGGCGCAGTTCTGTGTGTTACCTCATATACACGAATACTGACGCGAGTGTGAACACGTTTAGATTCCCCGGGTCATGATCCTGGAAAATTAGAGGAATCAACCAGACAATGATAGACTACATGAATTTATAATTGAATTGAGTTGGATTGACTTTGGAATTGTTGAATTTCATCCTGGAAGCTTTCGACTATTGCTGAATTGGGGGTGAATGGAAGTGATAATATATTCTGATATTACGAAAGTGTAATTTCGAAGTTTTGTGACGAGCGTGATGATGCGATGAATAATATCCTTTAGAATCGACAGTGCACTCGAATTAATTGATATATAAACATTTTTTTTGGATACTGTAAGAAAGACTAAGTGGATGGACTTAAAATATTAAAAAATATATACGATATTCCGATAGAAATGTGAATTATTATCTAAAATATAGAGGGGTCTCATAAATTTTATTAGCTTTCTCAGAGAATTTAAATTTGGATCGATCGTGGATCTTAATGCACTGCCTTAAAAAAAAAAAGATTCAGATTATTTCCTGTCGTATATCGTGCTCATCAAAAATTATTACTTGTATAAAATTTTTGATAAATATCGAAGATAAATAAAATCGAATATATATAGAAGATTTTCCGCTAATAATGTGACAAAGTCCAAGATAAAAGCCCGCTATGCGAAAGAACGAGTGTCTTCTTCTGGAAATAAGAAAAATCTGTCTAAAACTGATAATGATCTCGAAACTTGACAGATAGAATATAGTTCATGGTGACTTATTATTAGTGCGGGTAATGTGTCAACGAATTTTTTTCGAATTCTGACGCCTTTGACTTCTTGGTTGACTCAAAAATAAACTGCGAGTAATTAGTGTGAAGTAATTACTTATCATAGCTGATAAAATATTTCATGGATATTTGTTCCGACAAAGATCGCGATTAAAACAAATTTCGAGCAATATGAAACTATCCTGATCATAAATCGCCGAGAATTTCCGAGTTTAACAATTAATGTAGCCGGCAAATATATATATCTTTTTTTTTACAAAAGAAGAAATTAATTAGCGAGGTCCACAGAAAAGAGGAAAAGAGTGAAAAGTGATACGTGTCGTACTCTATTAAATTATACATAGTGCCGAAGAGAAAACTGTATAGAATCATATGTTTGTCTTGCTACGAACATTTCCGGGCCAAATAAATTTCCATAAGGCGAGGATGCCAAGCGCTGACTGATAACACGTGAGTATTACACTGCATTTTCGACGATAGCGAAATATTCTTGGAGCGCGAAATTTTATTATAAAAAAAAAATATATCTACTGTATATGTATTAAGACAGCATATTTATAAATTATCTTTATGAAAAAAATGAAAGATAATACATCGCGGACTCCCAACAGCTTCTCTTCATCTATTTAATCGATCTTCATCATTCAAGTGCGATAAAATTTTAAATATATCTTTGAGTCAGCGATCGCGACCGTAAATTTAATTATTATTAATTGCCGCATCGTAGCCAAAACAAAATTAACGTAATCGCGGAAACGCCGCGGTGATCTTCGCGAATCGCGCGACTAAATGTAAGACCGATAAGAGGATGACCGTCGCGCTTATCAGGATGCATGCTACGCGATTATAATGTATTTAGTATTTAGAATATGAATATGTATAAGCGTGATCTCTCTCCCTCTCTCTCTCTCTCTCTCTCTCTCTCCTTATCTCTGTCGCCGTTTCCGCGTTGATGTTAATTAGCGATAATAACGATGACGATAGCTCACATACAGAAACAGTATTAGCAACCTTCATCATCGCGCGTCCACACTTGTAAATTTCCGCTCATATCACATTCATGTCGATATTGAATTGCGAATTGATATTAATTACAAGATCGATATCAATCAGTAACGTAGATTTTTTTATACGTTCGGATTTTCTTCACGCATCTTTTCGCTATCGATTATAATAACAGAGGACTTTCTTGCTCGCCTCTTTTACACGTCCTCGATTAAAAAGGCTAATTTACGTCTATTTCTGCTTGGATTATGCATTATATTATTATGCAGCGCTGATAATTTTTGCGAGGTTGATGAGCATTCCGATGTGTGGGTGCGAAACACCGATATCCTCGGTAATTATCGATACTGCTTTGCGTAGACCTTTGAAGCATATATTGAAGATTATATTATACCCGGTGTCGCCGTTTATATCACGCGGTTAAGAAATGCTATTTTTATGACAAGATGTTAAGGATTCGCGTGATGAAACTGCTGATCCAGAAGAAGATGATTAACGGCCTATCGGCAGTATCGAGCGACTTGTGATAGTAAGAGCGATCCGATGTTAGCTGCCAGTCGTTATCAATTAATCTCATTCATTACTGTTAATTATTCTAAGTAGAATACCGAAAAGATAGATGCCTTTCAATTCGATATATAAGCTATAAATAATTGCACTTAAGGACTGTATATATATAGATCTTATTAATCTGTGCCAATTAGTATGAAAAATGTAACATTTAAAAATGAAATTAATAATCTTCGCATAAATTTTCTCAAGTACAGTAGCGTTTATTTTACTTTGCTGTAATAGCGATGAAGATTAGATGTCGCTGAAAGTATTGTAATATAAGAAACAGTATAAAATAAATACACGAATTGACGGGGTCTTCAAATTCCGATTTGTATAAAAAATAAAAGCTTCACAAATTTTTCTAACAAAATTAATACACGGAGTTTCAAATAATTTAGTAAAAAGAAACATAACAATTTTCTCGAATTTCATGCGCGCGTTGAATTTTAAGGCTAAATCACGAATTGCCGTAAGACGGTTGCGAATAAAATGGCGAATATAAAGTTTATCGCTCCGCTCGCACGGTCGCGTTGCAGGTTTCGTTTATGTGTGTGTTCCAGATGTGGAAATAGTTCGATACATTCTTCGGAGAAACACGACGGTCGCCGATAAATCACGAATTGCTCGACGAGGTTGTGCCGCAATATCGGTTAACGGTTATTACGATCGAGAATATGAAACATTTTACTGCATGGCATGACATTACCGCCGCATCTGGTGTGTAAGCGATAGTCACGAGCTACAGCCGTCACAATTCGTTATCTAGTCCGTCGTTATCTGAAACGCGAAATTGGAAACAATGCCTCCGTCTGAGCACGACTTTTCCGCTCCTCGACTATTAGCACGTTGCATATGAAACATAGCATTAGAAATAAAAAAAACTACATATAACTATTAAAAATTAAAATACGCGTACAAATTATAGCTAATGAAAAATATAAGATAATCGTGTGAAATATATATGTTTACCTCAAAAGTATTAAAATATTCGTCTGAGCACGACTTTTCCGCTCCTCGACTATTAGCACGTTGCATATGAAACATAGCATTAGAAATAAAAAAAACTACATATAACTATTAAAAATTAAAATACGCGTACAAATTATAGCTAATGAAAAATATAAGATAATCGTGTGAAATATATATGTTTACCTCAAAAGTATTAAAATATTCGTCTGAGCACGACTTTTCCGCTCCTCGACTATTAGCACGTTGCATATGAAACATAGCATTAGAAATAAAAAAAACTACATATAACTATTAAAAATTAAAATACGCGTACAAATTATAGCTAATGAAAAATATAAGATAATCGTGTGAAATATATATGTTTACCTCAAAAGTATTAAAATATTCGTCTGAGCACGACTTTTCCGCTCCTCGACTATTAGCACGTTGCATATGAAACATAGCATTAGAAATAAAAAAAACTACATATAACTATTAAAAATTAAAATACGCGTACAAATTATAGCTAATGAAAAATATAAGATAATCGTGTGAAATATATATGTTTACCTCAAAAGTATTAAAATATTCGTCTGAGCACGACTTTTCCGCTCCTCGACTATTAGCACGTTGCATATGAAACATAGCATTAGAAATAAAAAAAACTACATATAACTATTAAAAATTAAAATACGCGTACAAATTATAGCTAATGAAAAATATAAGATAATCGTGTGAAATATATATGTTTACCTCAAAAGTATTAAAATATTCGTCTGAGCACGACTTTTCCGCTCCTCGACTATTAGCACGTTGCATATGAAACATAGCATTAGAAATAAAAAAAACTACATATAACTATTAAAAATTAAAATACGCGTACAAATTATAGCTAATGAAAAATATAAGATAATCGTGTGAAATATATATGTTTACCTCAAAAGTATTAAAATATTCGTCTGAGCACGACTTTTCCGCTCCTCGACTATTAGCACGTTGCATATGAAACATAGCATTAGAAATAAAAAAAACTACATATAACTATTAAAAATTAAAATACGCGTACAAATTATAGCTAATGAAAAATATAAGATAATCGTGTGAAATATATATGTTTACCTCAAAAGTATTAAAATATTCGTCTGAGCACGACTTTTCCGCTCCTCGACTATTAGCACGTTGCATATGAAACATAGCATTAGAAATAAAAAAAACTACATATAACTATTAAAAATTAAAATACGCGTACAAATTATAGCTAATGAAAAATATAAGATAATCGTGTGAAATATATATGTTTACCTCAAAAGTATTAAAATATTCGTCTGAGCACGACTTTTCCGCTCCTCGACTATTAGCACGTTGCATATGAAACATAGCATTAGAAATAAAAAAAACTACATATAACTATTAAAAATTAAAATACGCGTACAAATTATAGCTAATGAAAAATATAAGATAATCGTGTGAAATATATATGTTTACCTCAAAAGTATTAAAATATTCGTCTGAGCACGACTTTTCCGCTCCTCGACTATTAGCACGTTGCATATGAAACATAGCATTAGAAATAAAAAAAACTACATATAACTATTAAAAATTAAAATACGCGTACAAATTATAGCTAATGAAAAATATAAGATAATCGTGTGAAATATATATGTTTACCTCAAAAGTATTAAAATATTCGTCTGAGCACGACTTTTCCGCTCCTCGACTATTAGCACGTTGCATATGAAACATAGCATTAGAAATAAAAAAAACTACATATAACTATTAAAAATTAAAATACGCGTACAAATTATAGCTAATGAAAAATATAAGATAATCGTGTGAAATATATATGTTTACCTCAAAAGTATTAAAATATTCGTCTGAGCACGACTTTTCCGCTCCTCGACTATTAGCACGTTGCATATGAAACATAGCATTAGAAATAAAAAAAACTACATATAACTATTAAAAATTAAAATACGCGTACAAATTATAGCTAATGAAAAATATAAGATAATCGTGTGAAATATATATGTTTACCTCAAAAGTATTAAAATATTCGTCTGAGCACGACTTTTCCGCTCCTCGACTATTAGCACGTTGCATATGAAACATAGCATTAGAAATAAAAAAAACTACATATAACTATTAAAAATTAAAATACGCGTACAAATTATAGCTAATGAAAAATATAAGATAATCGTGTGAAATATATATGTTTACCTCAAAAGTATTAAAATATTCGTCTGAGCACGACTTTTCCGCTCCTCGACTATTAGCACGTTGCATATGAAACATAGCATTAGAAATAAAAAAAACTACATATAACTATTAAAAATTAAAATACGCGTACAAATTATAGCTAATGAAAAATATAAGATAATCGTGTGAAATATATATGTTTACCTCAAAAGTATTAAAATATTCGTCTGAGCACGACTTTTCCGCTCCTCGACTATTAGCACGTTGCATATGAAACATAGCATTAGAAATAAAAAAAACTACATATAACTATTAAAAATTAAAATACGCGTACAAATTATAGCTAATGAAAAATATAAGATAATCGTGTGAAATATATATGTTTACCTCAAAAGTATTAAAATATTCGTCTGAGCACGACTTTTCCGCTCCTCGACTATTAGCACGTTGCATATGAAACATAGCATTAGAAATAAAAAAAACTACATATAACTATTAAAAATTAAAATACGCGTACAAATTATAGCTAATGAAAAATATAAGATAATCGTGTGAAATATATATGTTTACCTCAAAAGTATTAAAATATTCGTCTGAGCACGACTTTTCCGCTCCTCGACTATTAGCACGTTGCATATGAAACATAGCATTAGAAATAAAAAAAACTACATATAACTATTAAAAATTAAAATACGCGTACAAATTATAGCTAATGAAAAATATAAGATAATCGTGTGAAATATATA